GGCATATTAAATTTCGCCGGATACATCAACGGCAGTGCTTCTTAATAAGACATTGGAACTATTATACAACATAATTTAGAAGTGTTCGTAAAACCCTTTCTCTGCTGTATAAAACGGAGTGCTAAATGAACACTCAGTCACGAACATTTTTGTTCTTGGTGGAATTTCAAAGTTTTGGTCAAGTTCTATAATAAAATCGCTGATAGAATTACTTTCTGGCAATCTGTAGGCACTATCAACATAGATTTGTTTATATGTTGATCTATCACTCATAAATATAATACAATAGAAATTATAATATAATTATTAGTATATGATAGGAAGACAATTATTATTTGGTGCTATTGAAGGCAGGACGCCTACACAAATGATGGCAGGTGTAGCAAGTGATAAAGCATATACAGCAGGTAAGGATTTATTAGAAAATGTATTTTAAATCATAAAAAGACATTGGAAGACAAAATAGGAGGTTTCAATAAACATTTTGATAAGCAAATAATGAAACATAAAACACGCTACGCCGAAGAAATCAATGTTCAAAAATAAAATAAAGTTGATGATGTCAAGGGTTTAGACGCCGCGTATTCAAATGTGAATGGAATAACAAGAATAGGCAACACATTGTATATTGGCGGCACTGGTGATAAAACGGGACTAAATCACAAAGTCAATGATGTAATTGCAGATTTGTTTTTTTTCCTACTCATAATGTTCAATTAAGCGAAAGATATAGACGCAATGGAAGAATTAAAAAAACTATCCAGATGTGAACAAAATTATTGATCAGCCTCGGTTCATCCGTTGTTCACGAAATCAACAACAGACACGGAAACAAATATGCCACTACTGTTTATTCATCACCTTTTGTATCAGGAAGTAATCAACAAAAAAACCCGCGATACTTACGATTTAGAAATCGTGGAGACCCTATAGCAGTGTTCGATGACGCGGCAATAACTGGAGAAATAGAAAGCAATAATTTATTAGATAAACACAGTTTCAATAATTGGACAGGACAAGGTATGACTGAAATAAACCCTGCTACAGACATTTCTAATGGGTTCAACCCGAATGATAATTCGGGTTAAGTGCTTCGCGTTGCAACCCTAATTCAACACCAGAAAAAATATATGTTTATATGTATATAACTTATATATGGAAAAAATGATAGAGCGAGAGAAAGAGAAAGAATACACAATATCAAATAGTAAATATGAATGTCATTGTGGCAAAGAAGTATTGAATAAGGATAAAGAAGAGCACGAAAGCAATGATTTAAATCATTTATACTACAGAAAAGGCAATGTTAACGGACTTATGATAGGTATGTATAGTGAAATTATTAATTATGAAAATGATTATCTAAAATTACATCCTGAAAATAAAAAGAAGCATTATACGGATTATAGTAGAATTGATTATACTGACTTTCTTGAAGAACAAGCAGAACAAGAAATTCCGTTAGATGAAGATGATTTAAGTTATTTGTATAAGTATAGAGACGAATTAGAAGATTGTATAAAGCGTATAAATGAACTAACATTATCTCAATAATATTAATAATCATGTTTAGAAATACAGACAAACAAAGCAAAATTCCATTAGAGAAGAAACTGACAAAATAACCTACAAAATACGATAAACAACAAAAAAATAGATTATGATACTTTAAAAAATATAGTTGATACAAAAAATAATTATTCAATAAATACTATAAAAAATGCAACTTCAAATAATTCTACTATAGTGCGTCCACATAAGAAAAATATAAATAATAAAAAATCAAATCTAAGTGTATCATATATAAGTAATGGATAATATAATTGCAGAAAGTGGACCTACAATGATCAACTCATTAAATCTTGGGCTTCCCGAAACAGCACAATACATCACAGACAGACGACAAGTTAATTATTTTCCATCGGGGTCACATGTCTATAACCCGAAAGCAGGTAATACACAAATTAGGTTTCATATTACAGGTGAAGATAATACATTTATTGATTTATCTAGTGTTCGTTTATTTGCTAATCTTCACAACAAGGACAATACAAGAAGTCATGTTTTACGGCCGTTATGTCATTTGTCATCCTTCTTCAGTCGTTATAGATGCACTGTAGGTGGGCAGCAAGTTCAAGATATTATTGAATACAATAGACATTGTGAATTGTGTAACTCCTTCAAAAGTCAAGATGCCCGAGACATGGACGATTTAGAAGGCAGCGCTAATCCTCGTTGGGATGATGACTGGCAACATACTTATGCTACTGGATTAGCAGAATTTATTGATGCTAATAATGAACGAGGAACTACTGGAACAGCACCAGATGCCGTGACAGTCGAAGGAGGAGACCACAATAGTTGGGGTGATTTAACTTCAAGATACACGCGCCATTCAGTTGCGGGAATTCCTGGTGGCAATACTGGTTATATGAGATTAGGACATAAACCTTGTTGCGGTTTGATAGAAAGCAATCATTATTTACCGCTTCGTTACGCACCACTTGAATTAGAATGTACAATTGTGTCGGATGAACACGCACCAGCAATTACACCCATTTCTACTCGTGATGCAGCGGGGGATTTAATCAACAACACATATACTGACAAATATGGATATTACTTTACAACCGGCGATACTTCAACAGAGTGGGAATTGAATAACGTAATCATTCGAGCCGATGTCATAACCTTGGACAACACTGTCAACAACAGTATAGTAAAGCATCTGTTAGAGGGTCAAAGTTTGAAACTAGTATTCCCTATGTATCACACTGCGACGCAATCATCACCGCGGCAGGAACTGAAATTGATATGAACATTGTTAAATCCGCTTCTAAATTAAATGGTTGTTTCATTACACTATATCGCCCACCAAGAGCAGGAACTGACCCACAAAATACTAATTATTGCAGACAAGACAACTACATTTACAAGCGATGGAAATATTTTTACAATCTTTGATGGTCCGGATGCAGACCGAGATGGTCGCGCAGCATACCAAGGAAAAGGGTTTCAAAATCCTGAATGAGATATGACTTTGCAATTACAAACTAATAATAAGAAATATCCAGAGTTTGAATGCCAAAGCCTCAGTGAGACCGCTTACTACCTCCGAAGAACATTACACTATTTGAACCCTGACCAAGATGCCTTTAGTATTTCCTACAAGCGGTTTAGAGAGGATAAACTTGTTATTGGCTTATCCTTTGAGAAAATGCCAGATACCAATTTCACAGGTTCTAGTACCAAAATAGGTGGGTTATTAGTGTTTAAGCTCAAAGGCACAAATACGGCTTTCACAACCGATGAAGATGTGCGTGAAATATTTGCACATTTGATTAGTGAGAGCGTGTTAGAATTACGCGAAAGTGGCTTGATTTTGTATGATTATTTCATTTATATTTCAACTAACTAATTTCTAAAAATAACAATATTCTAAATAATGATATAAACAATGTATCGTCATCACAAGAAGAATGCGAAGAAAAATAAAGGCAAGATATTTTTACAATCCTCACAAATTAAATATAATCCATTTGACCAACGAGATACAGAATATCTAAAACACCTACACGAACAAATGAAATTAAGAAACTCACAAAAAGCATCAGTAGCATTTAGAAAACACATTCAAGAAGGACACGCCAGAGCAAATTATCAAAATCAGTTAGACAGATTAACGATGGAACTACATCGACCAAATCTACCACATTCAACAAAGGAGCATTTAGAAAAACGAATTGAGGAGTTGAAGAAATTAACATTTACTTTAAACTTATTATAATAAGATTAATAATCTAACTATTATTGTAATAAATATGGCAACTACAGCAAGTTTAGAATTAATAAACCCATATGCAAAATTTGGACTGAAAAGACGACCCACTTATGAAGAAATCGCTAATCGAACAGACGAAAATGATGTAATAACAGAAAAACTGCCAAACAGGGATGCCACATTCTTCAAAGCAAGTCCTCAAGGAAGTTTTTTGATGGAAGCGACCATATAGAATTATTGAAAGACCAACAGATGAGAATATTAGACAGGCAGATGAGAGAGATAATGTTGAAGCAGGAAGCACACAGAAGGCACAGGCACAGGCCCAGGCCCTGGCCCAGGCCCAGGCGCAGGCGCAGGCGCACAGGCACAGGCACAGGCACAGGCACAGGCACAGGCACAGGCGCAGGCGCAGGCACAGGCACAGGCGCAGGCGCAGGCACACGCACAGGCACAGGCACAGGCACAGGCACAGGCACAGGCCCAGGCCCAGGCACAGGCACAGGCACAGGCACAGACGCAGACGCAGACGCAGACGCAGACGCAGACGCAGACGCAGACGCAGACG